AGACTGGAATACTGCAGAGCCTTGAGGACATTGAGGATCAATGAGTACATTAACTACAGAAGGAGACCACTTTCTTATCCATTCATTTCTTTGTATTTAAGGTAGTTTGGTATCTGACATTTAACACTGTGTTATCTTTGCTGATAATGCTTTATGTACAGCATTTTTGTACCTATATGAAGAAATTCAGTGAAAGGCATATTCAACACCAGGGCTTTTGAGGTCTTGTGCTTATTTGTTTGCTTATTCTGCCCCTATTTTCATGTAGTTATTATATTTTACAGCAAGAAATAGATATTTACTTCTCACATGAGATTCATTTCTTACCTCCTGGAAGATACCCTTTACTGAAATGTTAGGATAGTCTTGGCCAAAAGGCTTTTTTTTTTTTTTTTTTTTTTTTTCCTTTATTATGCTTATCAATCACTTTAGCTTTTGGATTGACTAGTTACTTGAAAACTATATTAAAACTATTTGGTCTACTGTACAGTAATGTACAGTCTCTTCTGTCTGCTGAAGCTTTCACTGTACTTTTCACTACATGCTTCAACTAAATTCTCCTCTGCCTACTGAGTTCCAAGAGTGTGTGTGAAGACCCCAGGAAGACAGTGGAGAAGTAGGAAAAGGACAAGTGTTGGATTAGAGTTGAGTGAATATCTTTCTTATGAAGAAAGATATTTCACAAGATTTTGAAGGTCAGCATTAGATGTCAGACGACTGATGTCATGACTGCTTGAAGTCCTGTCCTGTAGTTTATGTTTTACAAGTCTGTAGAATATTAGATCAAGAGGGAAAAAATTTTTTTTAGGTGCCTGGGCTGCAGTGGATCCTTAGCCTTGAAGAATTATCAAAACTAAGGGGAAAAAAGAAAATAATCAGTGAGAGGATGTAATATGTTTAAATTCAGAACCTGGTAAAATAATTTATCTGGCATGAAACGGCAAGTTTATGAGTGGCTGGGCTTTCATTCTGTGCTTCTGTTCTGTGATTTTGTTGATGTCCTTCATTAAATGACTACAAGTAAGATTGCAGCGTCTGAGTGGGAACTGGGGAAAGGCTTTTAAATGAGTTCACTTGCATCTATCCACAGTAAGAAATACTCTGTAATGAGGGCAAGCATTGGACAAGTATTTTTTCAGTCCAAACATCTTTCCATCATTGCTTTAATTTCCTCCTCTCTCATTGGGGTTTTTTAGAATGATCCTTTCCCTTGCCATCTCTATATCACCAAGTCTGCTGCAGCTTAAGCATATCTGAGTGGATAGCTCAGATAGCTAGAACTCCTTTAGGTATCCACAAAAGACTGCATACAGCCTCACGGGCCACTATCCATTAGATTCGTATCATCAGAAAAAAAAAATGTTTAATGAGCTGTTCTTCAGTGAAGTCAAATATATACTCACTTTCCAGAAATAAAAGGAAGGGACAAAAAGCTTCTCTAATGACCGTGTGAAACTCTATTCCAGGACAGATATGTCCAGCGGGCCTTTTATGGTATCTTCTACAGACGTTAGGGTCATGAATGTCTTTGTAATAAGTTCTTTTGAAGCTTAAATACTGGTTAGCTTTTTGCACTGAATTGTCAGTTAAATTCCTATGGTTCCCACTGTGTGAACATGTTATGATTGTCTTTTAATTTTCAGATGTAAGAAATCTGTCAATTAGTTTTACATTAAATCCTAATAGTTGCAAAAATTCAGATTATTTTTTTCCAGATTCTATGATCAGTGTATAAAATCCTTGGAGTTTTCATGCTAGCATTCATAAGAGTCAGACAAAATAAAAAATAAAAAGGAGTGGTTTATTTCATTTTTTTCTTCTTAGACGTTATTTTAAAGTCACCAACACTTTAATTATATTGCTTTTTAAGAAGCAGCCTTACTAGCACTTAAAAATAAATAACAGTGAAATCACAGAAGTCTATAGTTCAAAAATCATACTGTTTTTCTAATATTGCTGCTTCAGTAATTCTGAAAGAGCTCTATACACAAATGTTGCCTAATTCATATTATCTTTTGAAGGTCTTTATTTACACAAAGCAAAACACTTCAAGATTGATATTAACTGCCTTTTAAAACAAGATATTTTTAATTCTTTGCAAAATTAATCTTGGAATAATGACCTCAAAACCATATTCTTACTCTTTTTTTTTTCTTTTTTTTTAACTTAAATAATGCATAATATTATTTCTTATATATATATATACCTAGTAATTGGAAATTCTATTTCCTAGATCTAACCATCTGTGTATAAATAGCATGCTACTTCTTCTTCCTGGTAAGATAATTGATAATTTTTTTTCTGTGTTGAGTCAGATGTGGTTAAAATTCTTCCTGCTGCTCTGTATTTTTAAAACAGAGGTGGACTAATTGGGGTGTACTTTATAGCTAGATGTATATTTTACATCAATTAGACTTCTAACTACACCAAAGTGGTGATTTTTGAAAGATAACAAGTTCTTCATGGAAAAGGGTGGTTAGGCAAAGGAACTGCCCAGGGAGGTGGTACAGGTGCCATCCCTGGTGCCATATTTAAGGATATGTGGTGGACGTGTTAGTGTTAGGTTGATGGTTGGACTAGATGATCTTAAGCATATATTTTGCAGCCTGAATAATTCTATGATTCTACGATTCTACAAATGACTAGTATACAAAGTGCTGGCCTAAAGTTTTGAGGCATATTAGAACAATATGCTATATGAAATTCAACATTACTTAAAGAAAATTATACACCTGTCTCCAATGTTTTATTCATTTCACAAATTTAATTAAAACTGGGAATTCTAAGAATCAATATAACTGTAAACATTTGACAATTTGGACATATTTTTAGCAGTTATTCACAACTTTTTTATTTATTTATATTTTTATTTTTTTTTCCTCCAGCGGCTGCCAGTTTGTGTAGACAGCACAAGTATTATGGAATTGTCTGGAATCAAATATTAATGTACTCACAAGGGCTTCCCATAGTATGATAATATGGCAGTCTCCAGGGTTTGCAGCTCTTATGAAAAATCTAATTACACTTCTCTGTTTTGAACAGCCTAAATCAAAACTAGATCAGCAGTGTTTCAAAACTTTCAAATGTTAGAACATATAAATACCTAATTTTTCCTTAGGTGTTTTAAATACTAAAATACTTTAAATAAATGGTTGATATAAGCACTGAACAGGTTAGAAAACAGACTGGAGCAGAAAAAAAAAATTAGAAATATTTGATTTTCTTAAGACTAAAAGGTACTATATTGAAATGTCTTTGGATACTAAAAGTACCATGCAATTCACAACATTTTCTTCCTAGTATCTCAACAGTAAAATAAACTTTTCTTGAGCTGCACTTTGTGATAAAACTGCTGAAAGAAACATCTGCTCAACAGTTGTAATTTTCCCACTGTGGAACGTTCTATATTATGTCATCTTTTCTCTCCCATAAAAAGTTAATTTTTATGTCTAAATCTTTGTCTTCTGACATGTCTAGCATGTCTGTTTCAAGCCTTGGGCTGTATTGAAATCTGAATTCATGGCATAAACATATTTTTTGAAAAGAGAAACAACAAAGTATGGAACAGTGTAGGATGATCCCAGGAATTTTATAAGCTGTAGGAAAAACGTTCATATTCAATTTCACTATAAGAAAGTACACTTATAGTAATAAAAAACATTTATAACAGATGGATTAATACATGGAAATCCTGTATATTCAGTACTGAGTGTGTATATACCATGACATCTAATTCTTTATGTTGGTTAATGTTTTGTTAATGTATTTCTGTGTAGCTCTTAGATCTACCATAAATCTTCCAGAGGTCTGTGTAAAGGATGCAATCTAAAGATTCAGAAATGTTTTGATATAAGCTGATACATCTCTTAGGTCTAATCTCTGTGTTACAAAAATCTTGGCAACAAAAAATCAAGCTTCTTGTTAGCTGCTGAAGTAGTTAGAAGGATCATGAAGGATCTTGTTCCTTTCAGTAAAGGAGAAAGGGCTACATGCTTGGTAGCACACCTCCATGCTCTTCAGGGATGTATTCTGACACTGGGTAGCATGACAGATCAGCAAAACTGAAGTAACGTGTTCAGCAATCTCACAGTCTCTGTAGGATATAGACTTTTTATACTAAGAAGTGTGAAGTTGGCATTTTAGAATTCCAAACTGGAAGGCCTTGGGAATTAACTCCGGAGCTGACTATAGCCAGCATATACAGAGATGCATAAACAGGAATTCTGCACAGCACATTTTACTAAACTGTGCAAGTTCAAAATGGGCCCTGAGATACGTGGTCACAGTAAGATGAAATCTTCTGTAACATTTAGTGATGGTGGTAAAAGATTTTCCATCCATAAAACATGTAAAACTTTTAAACAGATTAGTAGTTTGAGATTCTATTCCTCATAGAAACATTCTCTTCTATGCACAATTACTGTTTTATACTAAATACCAGTCTTCTCTGTTGCAGCTGAAAGAGGTGTTTTATTCAAGAAGCATAGCTATTTATTCTTATGCATTACTCCTTGGCCTTTTCATAGCTGCTGTGGGGAATAAGAGTGGCTGATAGCGGCATCTTTCTTCTTTTTCTGTAACGTGTTTCTCAGGTTGGTAGCCATCAGTGGCAATGATGTTCTCAATGAGATTTTTTTTTGAGATCGTCTCAATGACATTGCTCAAAAATAGTATCACATTCTTGCGATTTACATTTGCCTTATGAAATAGAAATACCTCAACATAATGCAGAAGTGGTAGCCAGGACAATGCTGCTATCATTGTTCCCCTCTCCTAGGTAAATTTTCCAGCTTCCATTTTACCAGATACAACATAGCATGCTATATGAAATTGGAAGATCTTGCTATGCAGTCAGGAGCAAATCAGTCAAATTTTGGGTAATTACTAGTTTCATTTATTTGTCATTTTTAATAAAAAAAGGACAAGTTGTAACTAATATTTGTCCAGCTGTGTGAGGTTTGAGTGCATGCAGATTGATCTTTTTCCCTTCTGTCATTTAGGTTTCTCTACAACAGTGGAATTTCTGTATGAATTACAATATCAGTCAAAAGAAATTAAATCTCAGCTTGAATCTTTAGTTGGTATGCATCTGATTCAAAGAGAACGGGATCCAGAATCTGGAATTATAACGCTGATATTTAATATAGTGTTTGCACCTAACAAACCAATGAGGTAAGTCCCTGCTCCTTATTACTAATTGAAAATGCAATAAGATTCAGTCTGATCACTACCTCCCTACACTGTTTTCCTCACTTTTTTTTTCACCTCTGAAATTTATTATTTTAAGTTTTCTCACTTACTGCTTCTCATTATGATAACTTTGATATTAAAACCTATAGTATTTATTTTTAATGCCTGCTAGATGATTCTGTTGGCTTGTTGCTTTAGTCTCTGTGTGCATCAATTTACTTATAAGCATTAGAGTATTGACAGTATTATGATTTCCAATGAAAATTAATTGTTCTCAACATTCATGGAATGCATACAGACTAGATGGCTTGTCAGTTTTGATAAACTTTCCTAGACAAGCATTTTACATGTTCTTTGGTTGCATGGGATGGCTGAATTTGAAAATGAGTCTCTACTGCCCTAGTAACAATGGTAGTCTACAGAAAAAATATTACCTTGTGATAGACCTCTCTAAAAAGAAACTGAAAGAGATCCTTTTGAAGAGAGAGAAAAATTGCACCTTTCTTTGGAAGCAGTCAAGTGGGTACAGGAGTAAACTAGAAAGAAGCTTGCCCAAACATGCAATAAATTCAGAGGTCAACATTACCAGGGAGAGCAAGCAGTAGTCCCTGCTTGCTCTCCACAGTTGTGTATACAGAGAAGGTATTTTTATGAGTCAGGATGGAACAGTGTTTGTGGTAGTCCACAAGGTTATTGAAATTAAGAACAAACCTTTAAGGAAGACTATCCACCCACTCCACACAGTATTGTTGTGTCAGAGGGGAGATTAATTTTGAAACCTTTTTGTCTTCTACTCTACCCTTTTTTATGTGTTTTGTTGTTGTTGTGGTTGTTACTACTGTTGTTGTTTTGTTTGTGAGTGTTTTTGTTTGGATGGTTTTGGTTTTGTTTGTTTTTAATCTTTATGTACTTGAGAACTATAAGGGTTGGTGTAGAGTACTGAAAGACTGTAGCTAAATTATTTTTTTCATCATCAGAATCTAGAGTACATTAGTACATCAGAATCTATAGAGTACTTAGTACATACTAAGACAGATCTATTTAAATATAATATGAACAGCTAACATGTTCTGCATTTAATTCTCCTCTAACACCACAACAGCTAAAGAATAACAAGTAAACCAAATTGAGTAGTATTTGTGTAACCCAATGGAGTAAACAGAAGAATCATATTCCTTAGCTGTGCCCATCATTTTGTTTTCATATTATGTCTTTTTTTCTTTTGCTCTACATACTTTTTTTTCTTTTGCCTACATTACAGTCAAAGGGTGACAGATACTTACTAAACCATGTAAAATTAAGAACATACTCCATTTTAAAGCCATTTGTATTTTCATTTTTCTATAGTATTGTTCTGCACACTTGAAAATTATTTTGGATATTATTTTACTGAGTATATGTTTTATAATAAAATTAATGTTTTTTGTTTGAAATTTTAAGAAATGAAGGAACTCTAGTAGTACACTGCACTACAGGAGGTATTTGGAAGTTTCCAATGCTGTTCATTGCTACAGAGCCAGAAGTGGATGATGTCATCAACATTGAAGCAATTGGCCTAAATAAGGAATCTATTGTTGATTTTAAGCTTACAAGCCAGACAAGGTAAAATATTTATGATGAAGCATTTATGTAGTTTTCTGTAGATTAAATTCACACTCAAAACAGATCTGGGAAACAGAAGCATACCTGAACTGCATCTATTTCAGTAATATGTCATTACTTTCAAGTGCTGCATTGTATAGCTAGCAAATGGGATATTGAAGCTATACTGTAAGAAGCACAAATATGCTGCATATTAGTCCCTTAAGAGAAAAATTGTGGAATAGATCCAAATGTTTTTGTTTTAAGTAAGGTTTTGCCCTAAAATGCTTTTCAGTGTAAAGTATGGAGCACAATGCTAAGGAAGGTGTGACAAGATATTAAAGGCTTGCTATTAAATGCTTAATGCTTTCAGTAATGGATTGTTTTTCAAAGTACTTTATACTTCAAGCAAGTTAAAAACAATTCTTTGCATTGTGTTTTATTTTATTTTATTTTATTTTATTTTATTTTATTTTATTTATTTTTAATGTGCAGTTCTTTTGAAGGCATTCCTGTTTTATTATGTACAGATATTATGAATTCATCTGTACCCTGCCCTTTCACTGCATAACATTGTCAGATTCATCACTACTTTGTTACTGGTCTACATATACTATTTAAAAGTTCTGCAGAAATATCTGTTAACACAATTTTCAAATACATTTCATCATTTTCTTAGCATTTCCTAATGTTGTAGAGAACCCATAGTGTTATTTGTATACAGCAGGAAGTCAATGAATAAAACGTGTGTTTTTAATAAGTAAGTTTTAAATAGTAAACAGTGAACCTGAAAGACAGTCATGATGCTTAAAATCAAACTAGTTCATGAATTTTTATTTCTTTTGGTCATTACTTTTTTGTTGTTTTTATTTTTTTTCCTTTTTAACATACATCTAGATAGCTTTGGTGGTTTTACTCAGCTGGGCAGCCACCTGTTCTCTCACTCCCCTTCCTCAAAGGGAAAGGGGAGAAAATATGAAAAAAAGGTCTCACGGGTTGAGATAAGGACAGGGAGATCACTTAACAATTGTTGCTATGGGCAAAACAGACACAGTGTAGGGAGATTAGTAAAATTTATTGCCTATTATTAACAAGCTAGAGCAATGAGAAACAAAGAAAAACTAAAACCACCTTCCCCCCATCCACCCTCTTCCACCTCCTCCCCTTAAGCAGGGCAGGGAAATGGGGGAATGGTGGCTGCGGTCAGTCCCTGATGCTTCATCTCCACTGCTTCTTCACGGTCACTCCCTGCCCCTGCTCCCCATGGGGTCCCTCCCACGGGATGCCGTCCTTCCCGAACTGAGCCTGCGGGGGCTGCCCACAGGCAGCAGCTCTTCAAGCACTGCTCCCACATGGCTCCGTCCCACGGGGTCCATCCATCCCCCAGGAGCAAACTGCTCCTGCACGGGTCCCCCACAGGTGGGCGGCACCTCCCCCCAGACCCCCTGCTCCTGCTCCATGGTCTGCAGCTCCGGCCTGGGGCCTGCTCCTGCGGGGGCTCTCCATGGGCCGCAGCCTCCTCCAGGCCACATCCACCTGCTCCACGGGGGCTCCTCCACCCACGGGGGGGCTGCAGCGTGGAGATCTGCTCCATGGGGGACCCATGGGCTGCAGGGGGACAGCCTGCTCCACCAGGGGCCTCTCCACAGGCCGCAGGGGAACTGCTGCTGCCTGCCTGGAGCATCTCCTGCCATCCTTCTGCACTCACCTGGAGGTCTGCAGGGCTGCTCTCACTCCTCTCTAAATGATTGAGATTATTATTATTTTTAATTTTTTCCCTTTCTTAAATCTGCTCTCCCAGAGGTGCAAACAACATTAACTATTTGCTTGGCTTAGGCCAACAGTGGGTCCCCTTTTGGAGCCGATTGAAACTCGCCGTTACTTAACACGGGGCAGCTGCTGGATTCTTCTCACAGAAGCCATTCCTCCAGCCCACTGCTACCAAAACCTTGCTATGTAAACCCACTACAAAAGCATGCCAAATATACTGATGGATCAGTAATTTTCATGGTAGATACATGATTTTGAAGCATCCCCAGCAAGAAGTGTCTTTGGTTCTAGCACACTTTTTAAAGAGCTTATTTCCAAAAGCTGTGCACCTGAGATGGACTGTTCCAGCTTTTAGATGGCTTTCAGTTTTGATAATTACTGAGGACTCTGAAAAAGGCTACTATCACAGTGTTCAAGGTAACTGCTTCAATAGAATGGGCTGTTTCAGGAATAAAAATGAAGCAATTACTCTGGCAATACTGTAAACTCCTGGTAGGTGTTTGATAGTAGCGAAGAGAGCTAATGTTCTCTAAAAAAGGTATTATAAAGCCTGAGTCATTATAGTTATATAAAGAAGGAGCCATGATGGAACACAAATTCTCTTTTTCCCTTAAACAAATTTCAAATTTATTTTACATAAGAAGTATTTCTCCAATATGTTTCAAAGACAAAACATAAAGCTTGCATGTAGTGAATATATTCCATATTGAAAATAGTGTGAACAACTGCTCTGTGAGATTTATATGCTTTATCTTACCCTTGATTTGCTTAGGATCTTTTTGATGGTGGAAGTTTTGTTACAGAAATAGAACACTGAGCCAAACAAAATGTGGCGTACAGGATCTGCAGTTTAAAAGCAATTACATAAGAAACCTGTATATTACAGGTGTAATTTAATGCTCGAATAACTCAAATGACTTAGATTAAAAAGAAAACAGAAATATTGAAATGTGTTTTAAAGTTTCAGTTGAGGTATAGAGTGCCATTCTTTAAGTCTTCCTGAAAAAATGGTCACTCCGTTGAAGTAAAAAATTAGTAACCCATTCCCATAAAGAAGCAGTTCTAGTATGTAAAAGAGGTGTCCTATACACCTCTGTTGCCCCTATCTCCCCTGTCTCCAACCCACTCCCTTCTCTCCCCCCAGTGACTCTCTGTCTTTATTTCTTACGATAGATAGTGCCTCATGGCACTTGTTCATTGAGAGTAACTGGCAGGGGAAACGGAGACAGTTTTCTAAGTAACCTGCTAGAAAAAAAATATATTTTTTGCTGTGTCTTTTTCCCCCTCTGCTATTTGCTACTTACAGGATAGAGTTATTGCATTGACTTCACTTATAAAACTTCTGCATCTTTTGGGGGTGGTAGGTTGCATAGTGATGCAACAACAACAAAAATAAATTTGAGAACCACAGACGAAATAAAGGCTTAATATCTTAATAAGGACAGATTAAAATTCTCATTTATATACCAATTCAAATGGTCCACAGAGTACCATTGGTGGCTACTGCAAAGGTATGAAGCCAATGGTTTTAGCTTTCTTTTCTATACAGCTGCTGCAATTGAAATGTAGGCTTCTTTTAATTTCACTTCTCCCCAGCAAAATTTAAACTTGTATGAAGTATTTTGGAGTAAATTAATGATTTCCCAACTTACCTATAGCCGCATTTGGTGTAGCTGCTTCACAAATAATTAAAAGTTACAAATGAGTTGCTCTGCTGTTCACAATGATCTACGATAATGAAAGCTCTGAGTCCATGCAAATAGTACATTTAAATAGTGCTCACATGCCTCCAATGAGCAACATCTGCATCAATAACTAACAACAGACACTGAGAATGCATCTATACAGTTTTGCTGTATGAAAAATAAAAATCATATATATTTTTAAAAACTGTCTACACATTTGACAGTTAACCTTTCTTGGTATTTGTCATAAATGTAGGTTTAATTCAATACCAGCTGAAATCTTTTGGCAACATTTCCGCAGAGGTAATTGGCTTTGGTACAAACCTCTAATATTTGTTTTATCATTAGTGTTTGGCTTAGTAATAAATGTATTATTGAATGACAATGATTTATGGATTGTCAACAGTATAAACCAAAAAGAATAGATAAAATGTTTTCCCCATAAGTAAAAGTTGAAGAAACTTGTTTGATATCCAGTTCAAATTATTGTTGTTTTATTTCTATACTGGTCTGTGAAATTGAAACACAGGATAAGTTTTCTGAAATTGATGCTTATGTTTAAGCAAAGTATCCTTTCTGTATTTGTTTTATTGAAAATAAATTCTTAATATACTTTTAATAAATTTTATTGTATTGGGATCATTACTATTTTATTAATACAAAACTGTTTTCTTGAGAATATTTACTACTTTGTATTTCAGTACAGCGGTGTTTTGACAGTTGGATGTTATTTCTTCACATTTAAATAGTGGTATGCAGCTACAGCAGAATGCTACCATATACATATGAACAATACGTTCACTTGATATATTTTTTTTTTAATTACATTAATTCTGAATGTTTAGTCAAGATGATGGATAATTATCTCTTGCCCTTTCTATCTGCTTATTTCTCACATAAAGAGCCTCCTTTCACCAATGTAATTCTAGCTTTCCACGTGATTGTTCTAATCATATGTCATTTCCCATATCCAGTATCTGTCCTTCCACCCCAGCCACTCATTCCAATCTTGTGTTTACCACAAACAGGGTATTTGCTACATTAAGGCAAGTTCTCCTGTGAACTCAAAGTATGCTTCAGAAAAATATACTTAGGCATTTAGGAAAAATATATTTAGGAATTTAGGATTTAGAATAACTGTATATGAAGACTTAGTTATCTTAGTTATCTTACCTACATTTCATATTTTGAAAACCATTATGGATATTTTCCTTACTTCATCTATGCACATTTCCTAGTACACAGAAAAAACGTTCAATAAAAAAAAAAAAAATCCTTTATCAAACAACATAAATTTTAATGTTGACTGAAGAATAGTGAGCAACCGATTTTTTTTTCTGTACCATTCCTAATTGCAAAGGAAAAGCAAAAAAGTTAAAACTTTGAGAAATATTTCTATTTTACTATAATCATGGCTTTATTTCATTAGGATTACCATGAGCTAGGATTATGTATGCTGCAACAAAATGCATTCATCAAGTTCTCAGTACACTCACCCTTGCCCTCCCTTTTAAGTTGCTGTGCACATTACAGGCTTGGATGCCTACATCAGCCCCCTTGTTACCAAGTTCTGTGAAATTGTACCATTATTTTAGAGAATTCTTTTTCTTAGTATCTCCCACATAGTGTCAGCTGCAAAATATAAAAGTTAATTGAGCTCCATTTTGGAGTCTCAATGTAGACTGATAGAAAATATTAACAATACAGCAGTTATAATCATCCTTCTTAACAGTACAATACCTGGCATTTAACACATTTAGCCAGGAGCTGTGTCTAGCTGTGGGACCTGGACCTCTTCAAGCCAGAAAAGTCAGTTCATCTATTTGCATGCATAGTACTCCTGGGTAGAATGGAAATGAGACAGAAATCTTAACATGTTGTGAAGATAAAAATTCTAGCTCCTGCTTTGATTTTACAACATGTGCACAGCAGAAGTGATGTAATAGCTAGTAAAACATTCGCTGACAGTTACTTGTCATGCACCATTTCTTTGTATTTTTGAAAGTCCTTTGATTTTGAAGCAGTATTTCTGAAGCTATATAGTTATAATTGGAGTTAAATCTTTTCTGATGTCCAGAGGTCAGGATTTAGAGTGGTCAATTAAACCAGAGTTGCTTGTGACACATAAAAGAACCAATTTTGATGAATGACGAGGATCTCTTTTTTTTTATTAATAGTCATTATTTTTAGAAGAGAAATCATCTAGCGCATGCTAGATAATACTAATAATTTTATAGAATTTGATAACTGTATATAGTGACATTTCTTGTGACATCCAACAGATGTTAACTACAAGTGACAACAAGTTTATTTAGGATAAAATATTTTTGGAAGCTTGTTGCAACATTTTCAAATGGGATTTCTATCCTTTGTTTCATTAAGAAGTCATACACTACAAATTAAGAGGTTATGTTATTTTTCTTTTATTTTCTTTTATTTAAAAAATACATTTTATCTGTGGGTTGTTTTTAAGCTATAGTTTGCATAATACTGATTTTGTAAAATAATAAATTTCTGTAGGAATAATTTACTGCTTCTCTAGTTTGAGGAAGAGGTAAGTAAATATTAAAGTTATTTTGAGTCTTAGTTTAATGAAGACCTATATTTTGAGTTTTGCTGTGCCCATTTATTTTATAGGCTTTTGCAGTGAGATCTCTATGGGATTATAAATTTTAAGGTTTTATTTATTTGAAGACTTAAAGTGTTATTCACTACTAGTTTACTAATTTAAAAATTATTTAAAAATGAGAGCACTGATGAGCATGAACTGCTATTTAAACTACTATGAAGTAAAGATTAAAGGAGTAATTATAAATGTGTCTATTAAATACTAACTCAATTTCCACTCTTCCTGTTGCCATGATTTCATTGTCCAATTATTATTTAAATTCAAATTACTATTCACTCTTGTTCATTATTTGAATAAGGGGAGAGGGCATATTATCTGACAGCAATATAAAACTGTTGACTATAGTTATGGAACACAAAGGTGGGAAGACAAATTTACTTCCTCTGGCTTGTATGGCCTCTACGCTTGTATTTACTAATTCCTTTGTGCTTGATTCTTATGTGTTTTCAAAACTCTGCATATCATTAAACTTTATCACATATGTTAGTATCTGCCACTCTTGCGTTAAACAAAAGCCTTCTTGTAAAAACATAGAAAGTCTCATCACTGTCTTTCATGGCTATGAAATGAGAAGCCAAATGTTAACTCCAGAGTGGTTTCACCTGAAGCAGTAATCAAAGAGAAAAGGAGGAATTAATTTTTAATTATTTTAGGCCACGAAATTATTAATTTTTAATTATACACTAAACACACAGACACTGAAAAGAATAATGTCTGAAATTCAGTGCTATTCTGGGAACTTTATGTCCAGCTTTTTCTGTACAAGAGAAAATGACAATGACAAGCAATTTACTTATGCTAGCAAGTTAGCCAGGGTGCCAGATCATATTCCCAATGTAAACATCAGTGAAAACACTGTTTTTGTTTTTCTTGAGAAGCCATCTTTAGATATACTTTTAACACACACACACAAAAAAAAAAAAAAAAAAAAAAATGATTTATCAGTAGAGGCACTGTGAAAGGTTCCTGTTTCTGAATGTGCATGAATAGAATATTAATCATTAGTTCTTGTACTGTTATATATCTTTATTTTTTGGTCTATCATATTACGGCTATACATTTAATTTGCCAGAATTTCTATGTTCCTTACTGGACATAGCTCCCACTTTGAGGAACTTTTTATGTCCAATATATGACTTGATTGTTTTGTTTAAAACTTCCAGACTGGGGGAGGGGAGGGAGAGGAAAGGAGGATGTTTTAGGTGCGTATATATGTGTTCATATATGTCTGTATGTGCATACATATATATGTTTTACTCATCACACGAAAAAATGCAGCTGCATCTACTGTCTTGTATCAATACAAAGCATGCAGATCTTTTTTTGAAAGCATTTTATTAGTTTTTCTCTATTTTTCTTTCTGAAAGTTATATTCTGACAAATTTGATGCAAGAAGATTTTTTTCTCTTACTTGGCAAATATCTTGTGTGCACAGTTGAAGATTGGTTTTGTGACAGTTTCATTTAAATTGTCTTGTTCCCTTGCCGGGACTTAAACTATAGATTTTTCTCATGTGAACTCTCTGACTGTTCTAAGGAATTATTTATGGTGTCTGAAAAAAATCTGCTGTTGCATCACTCCCTGCTAAAATGCAATTTTGACAGGAATAAGGTCTTTATTTTCTTTTCTGTCTTTTTTGTGTTCTATGCATGCAGCCTCTTCCATCTCCCTTAACATTTAATCACTGTTTCTGTAGTCTAAGTCACACTGTTGTACGTTTTATGAACACAAAATGTGTTTATTAGGGCATGTCATCCCTAAGTGCTTACTAGAAAACAGACTGAACAAGAGACAATGAAAGTGCTTTCTTAAAATGTTCCTATATCTAGTCAATAGAGCAGTTTTGTTGGAAGTGAAGACTTGTGTTCAGGTTCATGTTTACAGAACCAGGGTTTGAGTAGTTATCTCAGACATTTTCGATGAGTGATCTACTCTGCTACTCAGTTTAAGAGCAGCATCCTTTCTCATCCTGTGCTTGTCCTTTATTTTGTAGGTATGCTTTAAGCATTTGTACCTGAGCAGGTCTTACAGGAAATACTGATGTGCAGACTCAAGGCTTAGATGCTATATACATGGGAACTCAGGCTATTGTAAGCTTAGTGCTGTAAACTCAGCTGCACCCCTTTTTAGGTACCACCAAAAGAGAGCGTCAGAATAAGCTTAATGTCTCAAAAACTGAAATGTGTTTTCAGATGTTCAGTTCTTTTGACCACCTTGATGTCAACCAAAGGAAAAGTTAGGCTCAATCCTCTAATGCATTGGAGCTTGGTAGCACTGCTAAATCTCAGTTAACTTTCTGAGGAGGTGGAAGCTTTTTGGCTTCCATTTTCTGCACTTGCACTGTTTTCTTCTACAAACTCTCAGTTCGACTTTTTTTTTTTTTTTCTGACAGTATTTTAGAATTTAAGAAAACCTTCCGTGAGAACATACACAAAAGGAGAGCTATTTTAAACTATTTTTAAACAACATGACCCAGCATACCATGCAATGAATAGCACTTCCCCTAAATATGTGGGACATTTCTATAGAGATTTGAATTGTCATAAAATATTAAATTCCATTGCATTGTGAGTGTTTTTTTTTTTTTTTTTTTAAAAGCAGTGTTATTTCTGGTGCAACAATCCATGAATAAAAAGATTTGAACAGCTTTCTTGTCTGAGATGCTGTTAGTTTTTCATCCTTTAAGTTTTATCAACTAAAAATATTTTCCTTCTAAGTGTGCGCAGTATTTGCACTGTTACACTGTGATAGATTGTTGTGAATTATTTCTTGACCGTGTCATCAAATTTCTAGTTTTAATTTCTTTTGTTCTTTTTCTGTTTGGAATAGAGTTGTCCTCGGAAATGTATGTAAAAACTAAACGGAACTTGACAGGAAAATGCAATATATATGAATTTTCATGCTTAGAATGCTTAAGAAACTGTGATAAATAGGTGTCAGGTTGGAATTGTCTAAAGATTGGTAGTGCACAGCGACTCTTTCTACCAGGAATAAGACGTTTTCTTTTGGTGCAATGGTACTGCCTTGAAGCTAGCAATTAGATCTGTAGTACCTGTGACAAAAATTCTTATGAGACTGCAGTTGTACAATAGTATCAGTAGAGGAACATGATTATTGTTATTGCAGTATCTCAAAGTATTTGGTCTGTGAGACATGACAAGTTTTGAAAACTGATAGAAAACTATATTTCTCCATATATTCATTTCAAGCCTTTCAAACTCACTCCTAATTTATTAGTACTCCACCAGACTGCAAATTCAGTTCTAGTCATAAATCTTAACAAAATGGGTGGCTTGTCAGTTTTATTTGATTAGGGATTGGAAAAGTGAGGGGTTTTAAATAGGGTAAGTATATTTTCTACTCTTACATTAAATTTATTTTGATAATTCACATTATACTTTTACACTTAAAAAACAAACAAAAAAAAACAGATGTTATAATTATTCTGTAGTTATTATCATATTTATAACAAAATATATTTTAAATGGAAGACTAGTATACAGATCCCTACATATAAAGATTATAAATATTTATAATTAAATGTAAACAATTACTATAAAAAATTATTCTTTAAGTAATAATGCTGTTATTGTTCAAGCATTTCATGGGCTGCCACGTTTCCTAAGTAATGCCACATGGTGGCCTGAATGTTTAAAAATAAAAAATATTATTATAAAAATTTATATTATTATTATATAATATATTTAATATATTTTATTTATATATAAGATTAATATATTTATTATTATTATTATTATTATTATTATTATTATTATTATTGTTGTTGTTGTTGTTGTTGTTGTTGTTGTTGTTGTTATTGTTATTATTATATAATATGTTATATATTATATTATTATATTAAAAATAAATTGTATTAAGATATTGCAAAAGGCACAATAACCTCCTTTGCTTTCCTGTAGGTACCCTGAGCCATTCACTGCATACTTCCTGGCAGGCAGTGATCCTGACTTTGTTGTACTGCCACAAGCTGGAGAACTTCTTCCAGTGGGCACTGTTGGAACCCATATAACAGTGGGATTCAAGCCAAGAATGTATGGCAAGAAGCATAAAGCAACACTTGTCATTCAGGTAAGTCTTCCTAGATGCAATACCCAAATATACTCTCTCCATTACTCAGGACTGGAAGGATAAATAATCTTATACAAAAAAAAGCATTACTAAAACATGCAAATGCACACTGTAATTATTTTGCTACTCTTCACTACAGACAAGAATAAAATAAAATAATGAAAATTAACTCATGACAAGTTGGAAAAACTTATATTCTAATTTTAATTTCTTTGTTATCCCTTTGCCATCAGCACCAGAAACAGATACGTATTGTAATGCATATAAAACAACTACATATACAACATGACAGAATAACTTTTAACAGAATAATAATAAAAAAATCATATTAAGAATAAGTGGAAAATTTGTGAGTAATTGAATATATGAGACCTAAGTTAAGGCACTAGAAGGTAGATACTAAACTGTAAAAGGCAAATTTCAGAAGAAGAAGCTAGGTATAACTTCATATAAAAAAAAAAGCTTCAAAATAAACAAAAAGAATTTTTAGCCAAGTAACTTCTGAGTCTGAAGGTCAGAAAACATCACAAGACATTTTTTCTTTCAGTAGTAAAAATGTTCTTTTTACTTCAGGAATGTTAAGTCATTCTTTAAAAGGAAAGGGTTTGTCCAAAATTTATAGTACTGGAGAACACCTGAAACTCTCTGCAAATAATGGTTTGCACCTGAAATGCACACTTCACTGCATGCTGGCAATGTCTTTGGGTTACTGTATTAGAAGTGAAACGGCAATACTGATTTAAAAATTAGATGGTCAAAATAAAGCTGATAAAAAGATGCATGACATATCTATAGTGTTTTCTCTCTGCATGGTAACACGCACGACAGGAATAAGAAAGAGATATCCTAGGGAAACAGGAAGGCCATTTAATCCATCATATTTTTTTTTGTTTTTGTTTTGTTTTTTTACTGGATTAGACATTTGATCAATTCATTATTTTATTTTTTTTTACATAAACAGCAGTGTTCTTTATATCTCTTGCATTTGAAAAACAAAATAACTGGCTGAATCCACTGTGTTCTTTTATATTTATACAATGCTATATAACACATATGTACACCTCAGAAACTTCTAATGTTGTTCTGGAACAAAACTCCTGTTATTAGGCATAGCACATTAAAATGTACTAGCCATATTTGTCTTTGGTTTAACATCCATTGAAAATAGAGCTTCTACATGACGAATTTGTCTGCAATGGGATATGCATCATGGTCAAAGATTTGCTTTCTAAGAACTCACTCACTAATCCAAATTTTTCTTTGAGGAATTTATGAGTACAGATGGGCTTTGAGTAATTGGATTTTTAATTTCCACACCTCAGTCTCAGGTTATGATCTAGGCAGATGGTTCTTTACATCTCCACCTGTGCTACTGTGTATGGGTATAGGAATTCACTCATACATATTATTGTCATAGGTAGTGTCTTGTCCAATCTACTCCTGAATGTTAAAAAATTTATTAATGACTCTTCATGGCTTATACTCTCTTTATTTTTGCTGATAACCCTTTGGGGGTATACTAGAATTCATTCTTTCCTCTCCACAAAATCTTTTGGTCATGTAGTTCTAATAAAAGCTGTAGCACTTGTGACTGTAATTCTGCTGGTGACTCTCAACAGCTACCTGAAAGAAACTTGACTACATGTTGAGAATACCAGATACTCATTTCTGCCTTTGCCTTTCCTGTTAGTTCAAATAATTATCATTACTGACCCTGAAGAAGACAGATTTAGTTAGATGGCAAAAACAGTATTAAATCACTCTTATTTGAACAGTATTTTTTGAACAGTATTTTCAACTTATTTGTATCAGTATTTTGAACTTATTTGAACAGTAAACAGTATTAAATCACTCTTATATAATGAAAGTGGTGAAAAACAATGTTGGACCTAACACTGAAGAACCTCTTTTGCATGTATTCTTTCAGCAAGGTGTTGACAGAGGCTTTGAACTGTTCTTAAAAGCAGCAAAGGTGTTTTTACAGTATTGTGTCTCTTCTGATACTGCCATACTACAGACTGCAGCACTCTTCCTGTAAAATTTCCTTTGCACTTTTGGGGATAAAGTCAGAGTCCTAACACTAACATAGTTTTATTATTAAATTCTATGAATAGTGAGTTGCAGAACTGCTATTTTTGTATGCTTCAATGAACAGTGATAATTGGGCTGTAAAGCAGCACAGATGACAGTGTAAGTTCTTTATCTGTTTTATGCTGGTCATTACAATTGTGTTGTAAAGTAAAACAGGAGGTTGGGATTATGGGGAAAGTCATCTTTTCTTCATTTGTTGAAAACATTAAACCCAAACATTGTACATGCAAATTTTTTTGTTTTATTTGCCCTGCTGAGAACCCAGTCCTGAAGAAGTAATTAATGTGAAGAGATTACAATTTGTCTTTACCAAAATTCAGTGTGTACATTTTGTTAACTGAACGCATATCTATAATTGAAATAATGTAGCCTCATTTATATTTTCTGTACACAAATCATGAAGTACTTCATGAAGTATTTGGGGAATTCTTTAAAACCTTAATATTCATGAATACTTACAGTAGATTTTATTAATGGCAGAAAACTTTAATTACTTTGCTGAAGCAATTCAATTTTCTTTAACCGTCATTAAAACCTATGTCCTGAGTCAACTACATATCAAAACAATTGAAGTTAGACTATTATTTGAATAGCTGGTAGGAATCTTAATTTTGTAAAAGTACCATGGAAAATTACTTAAAAATTTCTGTAGATCAAAGAATTATTAAAATTATTAATATTAAAATTAGAGAAATATAAGAAAAAGCTTGTAAAGGAAATAATCATGCTTGTTTCTGTATCTGTGAAGGAGAACATCTTAATCTTACTGAGCTACAAGCAAGAAACAATGACAGTGCATGAAGAGCATTTTAAATAGATATTATTCCATAATCAAACGTCAACATTTTTAATAGCTTTCATAAGCAGTGCAGTTCTAACTGAAAAGAAAAAATGTTTTCCCCCTAATTACAAATTAGTGAAAGGATAATATATAAGCTATAAATTACTGAGAAGATAAAAAGGACTTCCTCAGTCAGACTAAGATCTCTGAGTTTGGCTGCAATGTGCTGGCAAAACTGAAGAGACAAGCGCCAGAGCCTAGGGCCAGCAAGGGCAGGGGAACTCTGTACAGGCTTCCCGGAGCAGGAGCTGCTGCCAGGTACAAGACAGAGCAGCCAGGAGGCTGGCAAGTCCTGGCTTGGAAAAGGGTGTATTCAAGTTGGCCTATAGCTAATTTGCTTGCAGTGTGCTGAATCCAGCTGGAGACCTGAGCAAATGTGTTGTAATTCATGGATGAGACTGCAGAGATATTCTAAAGCAGAGGGCAAACAAAATAAGTCTTAAAAGATAAAATAGATGTCAGAGAAAACCAGATTGCAGGTAACATTATCAAGCCCTCTAGAAGTCAGGCTTGTGCACCTTTATTACTGAATAATCACTAACTTAGCCTATGGAAGATAGCATATCAAAACCATTTGTCATGCTGCTCTGGAAATAAATGCTGCCGTGTGCAAGCCACAGTAGCCGTCTGTGGCTTCTCTAAGCTTATGTATGCAAGCTTGCATATTTTAACAGAAAATGATACTGTTACATATTCAGTAGCTTGGTGAAAATACATTGTGCATTGTTCCTGGTAGATTTGTTAATTACCGTAGTTTAATGTTATTCTGAATTGTATCTCTTAAAAATAATGAACAAGGGAAAATGTAAAAAAGCTAATAGGATAATTGAAATAGTTTCACAATGAGGAAGACATCACCTGTGTCCCCTGTCTGATGTTGAACTGAGTTTTGTGATTACAAACAGAGGTCCAGAAAGTCCATTCCAAGCAGTGAATATACCACATCATATCACTAGCATCACTGGATTTTGAGTGAAGAATCAATACTCAAAATTTTTAATTCATAGGCATAAAAATAGTTAGTTTGCTTATTGAGACTATAATTCCCATAATGACAAGAGATTATACAAATATGGGAATGACTGGTGTATAATGGCATTCAAAACATTGCCAGTAGTGAGGGAATATTTGATATTGATTGTATTACATCTAAGCAAAGCTGTGAAACATCTCATATATGAATTGCAGAAATCAATTTAAGTTATTTTTAATTTGATCTGGAATTGTTCCTATAAATTAAGAAAATGACTGCTGAGCTACCATTTTAATTAAAAATGGGAAGAAAAGACCATTGATTAAATGTAAACTTAATGGTTGGACTTGACAATCTTTTCCAACCTAAATGATTCTATGATTCTATGTGTAGTATCTGATAAAGGAGGAGAAGTGTTATTCACAAGCATTCTCAGACTCTAGTTTGATCACTTTTCCTCTTTGATACACTGAAATAAAGTGTTGGTGACAGTTTCTCAGGATGGCTCAGTACTGCAGCTTTAATATTACCACATTGTGAGGAATGGCTCACATGAATTGTTGAGTATATAATAAAATCTGTGAGTATATAAGGAAATGAGTTGTATGTTTTGCACTTAATTTTGGATGTTAAAATACATTCAAAATCACTAGGGCAGTTACAAGTAATGAGAAAAGAGATGAAAGAAAATAAGTCTTAATGTATCATACACTACAATCCCTGAATCACAGAATTCTTGAGGTTGGAAAGGACTTCTGGAAGGGACTTGTCTAACCCAGACAAGATGCTCAGGCAGGATCACAGTATTTGGGTCTGGCTGGAGTGGATTTTGCTTTCTTCACAGCAGCCTGTGTATTGCTGTGTATGGGATTTGTGACTTAACAGTCTTGACAACACAGCAGTGTTTTGGGTATTAATTAACAGTGTTTGCACAACATCAAAGCTTTCGCCCCCACCCTCAGAGCACTGGTAGGCATGAGTAGAAGACTGGGAAGAGATACATCTGGGACACTTGACCTTGACTGTCCAATGTCATTCTCAGCAATTAAAACTTTTTTTTTTTTTTCTCAGTCACCCTCACAGTAAAAATGTGTT